GGACGTGTTATTCCTTGACTTTAGCAAAGCTTTTGATACAGTCTCCCACAGTATTCTCGCCAGCAAGTTAAAGAAGTATGGGCTGGATGAATGGACTATAAGGTGGATAGAAAGTTGGCTAGATCATCGGGCTCAACGGGTAGTGAGCAATCGCTCCATGTCTAGTTGGTAGCTGGTATCAAGTGGAGTGCCCCAAGGGTCGGTCCTGGGGCCGGTTTTGTTCAATATCTTCATTAATGATCTGGAGGATGGCGTGGATTTGCACCCTCAGCAAGTTTGCAGATGGGAGGAGTGGTAGATACGCTGGAGGGTAGGGATAGGATACAGAGGGACCTAGACAAATTAGAGGATTGGGTCAAAAGAAATCTGATGGACAAGTGCAGAGTCCTACACTTAGAATGGAAGAATCCCATGCACTGCTACAGACTAGGGACCGAGTGGCTAGGCAGCAGTTCTGTAGAAAAGGACCTAAGGGTTACAGTGGACGAGAAGCTGGATATGAGTCAACAGTGTGCCCTTGTTGCCAAAAAGGCTAACAGCATTTTGGGCTGTATAAGTAGGGACATTGCCAGCAGATCGAGGGATGTAATCATTCCCCTCTATTTGGCATTGGTGAGGCCTCATCTGGAGTACTGTATCCAGTTTTGGGCCCCACACTACAAGAAGGATGTGGAAAAATTGGAAAGAGTCCAGCGGAGGGCAACAAAAATTATTAGGCAGTTGGAGCATATGTCTTAAGAGGAGAGGCTGAGGGAACTGGGATTATTTAGTCTACAAAAGAGAAGAATGAGGGGAGATTTGATAGCTGCTTTCAACTACCTGAAAGGGGGTTCCAAAGAGGATGGATCTAGACTGTTCTCAGTGGTACCAGATGACAGAACAAGGAGTAATGGTTTCAAGTTGCAGTGGAGGAGGTTTAGGTTGGATATTAGGGAAAAAAATTTCACTAGGAGGGTGGTGAAGCACTGGAATGGGTTACCTAGGGAGGTGGTGGAATCTCCTTCCTTAGAGGTTTTTAAGGTCAGGCTTGACAAAGCCCTGGCTGGGATGATTAGGTGGGGATTGGTCCTGCTTTGAGCAGGGGGTTGGAGTAGATGACCTCCTGAGGTCCCTTCCAACCTGATATTCTTTGATTCTATGAATACTTTTAGTAAGTTATTTGCCATGTGTCCTGGAAAAAAAAAATTTGTGGTGAGACTAACATTTACAATCATGTTAGTTAATTAGATTTAAAACTGCATCCCAAAGGCAGTGTCCCTACCAGGAAAAAAGGTATGTTTTTGAAATGTGTTACTATCCTTGTGTAGATGGGGAAGCTTGTATTTTAATGTGTGTATTGGAGGGGATCAGTCCAAGGCTTCCCCTCCTAAGGTCAACCCCTGCTAGCTAATACAAATTGCCATGTCGACACTACACAAACCTAAAGTGGGAGGAGGTGATGGTAAGTAGTGAACTGGGGATGTAGTGAGGGTGAGAAGTGATGTTGGGGGATTGGGCCCTGCTACATTAATCCAAGGTTTTTGGTATAGAAATAGGTCTGTGCAGGTCACTAAGGTCTTGTTGAAAATCTGTCAGGCCCTAGTTTAGTTGTAGGAAACTCTTCAGATTAAACTGTTTTCTAATATGTAGATATTTTTAATAGAATTTCCATAGCCTTCTATTGAAGGTATATGTACAATCTCCTGGTGTGATCTTTGTGTAAAAAAAATGAATACAAGTTGTGCAAGAATGATACCCATTAAAATGTCTTCCATTGAGTGGTTGTCAACTTCACATTCCTTTTTAAAAGTATAATGAGACTTGTGGTACCAAAATATTTTTTGATCAATCAGTATTTTTATGTTTCGTCTTCTATAATCTGTAATGCATTTTTATCCAGTCTAATCTCTTTTACTCTTGCCTTATCCCTAAAATTTCAGTTTGTTTTGTACAGTGATGTCCTGAGACTCTTGGCTTCTTATCAGTTCTGCTGCTCTCGTACTTGTGTTGATTCTTCTTTTGAGCTTTCAAATCCCAGACACCTTTTTAATTTTTTTTAAATTATTAAAAATATTAAATTATAACAAAACAGATCTTCAGATAGCCACATTGTTAAGTCTTACAAATGTTCTATGGTAGAAAAAACTTCAAGTTGACGAGAACTGAAGAAAATAAAAGTAAAACTTGAACATGTTAGATATATATGATATGACATATAGTATTCAAACATTAATTTACCATAAGGAATATATAATGAACAATCCGTAAACTTCACTCTAATCTACAAAGGTTTGATAGATAATTTAGTAGGGCATCAGAAAGAGATTACCTAAAGGGTCATTTCTCCCCCCCGCCCCACCCCCAATCTATTTAACTTTGAGACTGTTTCTAGCCATTGTTCTTGCAAGGGCGAAAACCTTCAAGTTTTCCTGAATTTTAATCCTCTGTTATTTGGTGCATGTGTTACCTTGGGTATAGGAAGAAGAGTTGGTGCTGTATATGCTGATACCTAATCCTGGAGATAAGAATGGTTATTTTGGGACCTTTGAGTGCCAAAATAAACTCAGATGCTATAATCCTCTTTAGTAAGGAAAACTGGTATTTCCCTGTAGAAGGTAGGGACCCAATCTAGTTTAGCCAGGTCAAAAATGTGATGAAATGAGAGGATCTTTAAGATAAAATTTTCACCTTTAAAATTTTTAGCACTATGAAGCCATGGTGCAAAATAGGGCCTTTTTGTGGTATCTGTATGCTTGTCATGTTTCTTAGTTCTTATTTCCTTTGGCTGTCCTGAATTTTTTACTTTAAAAAACAGTGAATATTTTGAATATATTGTCAGTTGTAAAACATTAATTACTTGATTAATGAATAAAGATCTAGAGCCTACTGAGAGCAATTTGAGAGTCAGTACTTAGTAGGAAGGGGAAAAATGGGGAGTTCTTATAATGTTACTGTAGCACAGATCTGAGTTGAATAGCTGTCTGGGGAGATACAGAAAAAGCATAGGAACATTAAATGTAACTCAAATCAGACCTCTTAATTAATTGGTCTTCTCAGTCATCTTCTTCTCTTTCAGTTTCAAGTTCCTTAATCTTTCTTTTTAATAACTTTGAAATCTCGCACTTTCCTTGACTTCTGATGGAACTTTTTCACTCAAGAAAATATTTGTACTCTGCCTTTTCACTTCGCGGAGAGGTGGTGCAAGAACTCCACCCTGCTCTCTCTCAGCATATTGCTGATCCTGGTTTTGAAGATACAATGTTAAATTATATTTCGGGAAATGACTGGCTTAAAGGAACACTGTCATGGTTTTTTTTAGTGGTCCTTGTTTTACCACAAGTAGTTACAATGCATGCAGTAATGTCATATTACTTTCTTTTCTTCAAATGTAGACAGCAGCACTGAGAGCAGTAGGCAACATAGTAACTGGTACTGATGAACAAACACAAGTTGTTCTCAACTGTGACGTTCTCTCTCACTTCCCAAATCTCCTGACGCATCCAAAAGAGAAGATAAACAAGGTATATTTTGGTTTTATTTTCATTTTTGTTTTGTTTCTAGGTTCACCTTTTAGGTTGACAAAATGAAATATCTCTCCTTTTGTAGCACGTGGCAAGCAGAATTCCCAACTACCTTTTATTTATTTTATTCTTTTTAACTTTAGGGAACAGTTTAAAACAGTTTAAAGCCTTCCATTAATAACCATGTCTGCATAGTGGCCACAAACTATTCTCTTCGAGATATGATTGGCAATCCCACTTAAAGGGACTACTTTAATAAGAGTGGAAAATATTGTCTTTTCAGATAAAAATGTTGCTTCTGTAAAATTTTACAGCATATAAATACCAAAGGTGAGTACATGTAGGAGAGATGTGGTTGGAACTCCTCTGCTTCAGACCAACAGTGAAAGCAATATTGAAACCTACACACTTTTTTTTTTTTTTTCCTTCAGTTTTCACTCCTGGCAGACTTATTTATATAGTGCCAGAGGTGTGCACAGATTTAATAAGACTGTGTGAGCTGGTGGTCTGATCCACCAACTGAGGAAAATTGTACTCACTCAAACCAGCTGCACAGATCTAGTTCCTTTTTCAGGGCTTTCTTTATTAATTTAGAAACAAATGTAAAGCAACCCAAAACAGATTTACTTCCCAACAGGACACAGTAAAAAGATAAAAAGCTATCTCCAGAGCTTCACAGCCCTCCTCAACAGAGGCTTCCCGTTGTGTGCTCTTGCTCGCTCTTCGTGGTCCCCTCCCCGGCCTTCTGCCTGACACATGGAAAGGCATCTCCTAGCTCAGAGGTGGGCAAACTACGGCCCGCGGGCCACATCCGGCCTGTGGGACCGTCCTGCCCGGCCCTGGAGCTCCCGGCTGGGGAGGCTGTCCCCCAGCCCGTCCCCTGCTGTCCCCCCTCCCTCGCAGCTTCAGCTCCCCATGCCGCCAGTGCTCTGGCTGGCTCCGGCCGGGCTCTGAGCGGCATGGTAAGGGGGCAGGTAGCGGGGGGCGGGGGGGAGGTTGGATAAAGGGCAGAGGGTCCTGGGGGGCAGTCACGGGACAGGGAGCAGGGGGCAGTTGGATTAGGGGGTGGAGTCCTAGGGGGGAGATTAGGGGATAAGGAGCTGGGGGGGTTGGATGGGTCGGGGGTTTTGAGGGGGCCAGTCAGGGGGTGGGAAGTGAGAGGGGGCAGATAGGGAGCGGGGGCCAGGCTGTTTGGGGAGGCACAGCCTTCCCTACCCGGCCCTCCATACAGTTTGGGAACCCGATGGTGCTCTCAGGCCAAAAAGTTTACCCACCCCTCTCCTAGCTCCTTGGGAGAGGCTGTGTCTCTCCTATTTGCTCTTCTGTTTAAGAGGCAGGAAGCCTTATATCCAGTTACCTCTAGGGCACATGACTAGGAACAAGCATGTGACCTGAAACTACTGCTTCCAGGTGTAAGGGCCCAAGGGCTGTAACAGGCGTACAGGGACACACACATTGGCTCCAGTGCCCTATTGTACATCGTATCTGTTTCAAGGAACCTGTGATCTAAAGATACCTATCCTAAATGTAATCTTAGCATTGAAATACAATACCTTGTATCACTATATGAGAATTGTGAGTCATCTGCATTGCAGTTAATATTCATAAATAAGTATTATCACTTTCAGTTGAGCCCACAGGAAAAGCAAATGTGCCCTTCAAAATATTATAATTACTAGCGTATCACTCATCCAGCACTATAATATTTGCTCCACCACCTTCCCAGTTTTGGCTCTCTGGAAAGTTTTTACCTATGCTTATTTTTGGCGAGTTAAAGGCAGCTACTGTTTATGAGTAGAATCTCTGTTAGTTCTGCTAAGATGGTTTTCTGAGCCTCACTTGAAGAAAGGGAAGGCCATTGTTAGTAATTGCCCAACATAAGTGTCATTTTAAAGGGAAAATGGGGTTTTCCTTTTTTGTGGGGGAGGAGATGGAGGTAGAGGGATTTTTGTTAAAGGGAGAAGAGAGCTAAATGCCTTCTAGAAGCCCCATTTTTATACCAGGAATAAATCATACCCTCTACTGCGGCATCTGAGGAGCATCCTGAGGCTTCTGACAGCAACTGGCATCCTACCAGCTTCCATTGCAGGATGTGTAGAGCAGAGGGAACCCTAAATGTTGACCACTAGTGCCTACCAAACCATTAAAATGTCTCCATATTGCTTAAATAGTCTTCATGGAGAATGGAGAAAGTGCCTCTGCTAGGATGGGAGCAGTTAGTTTTCTGCCGATCAAACATCCTGTCTGACATTACTCAGTATGCAAATTATCTTCTTCGTGGGAACGGTCACTCGGGCTCTGAAATCCTATTCCCTCCCACTGAGACAGGCAAGGTCACTCCAGCTTCTTCACTTCATGTAGCAGAGCACTCTTGTGAAGCACCACTTGGAGGAGAGCAGACCTATTGCCTTCTGCCCAGCTTCCCTTTTCCTGTCACCGCCTTTGGTGCCTTCAGGCGGATATGGATTCCTCTGCTTTGAAGAGAAGGGGAAAGACAGCCTGTGCTTCCTTTCCTCTCTCCTTCCAGCTTTATGTCAGTGGGCTTCCCTGTTGTGTGTACAGGAAGTGGAGAAGTTTGGGAGTTAATGGGAGGAAGTACTCAGAGCCTTTCCTCTGCTATGGTTACTTGTGTTTGTTTAGGTGTGGGTGGGGCAGTTTGTGTTCAGTAAGCCCTGCCTCACCCCTCTTTGATTCCCCCTCCACCAAAAAGACAGGTGAATGGAGAAAAAGCTTCCTATCTTTCAGGATACATACACTTACTCCCTCCCCTGTGTTATCTGCAGAGGAGGTCCCCTGGTGACTGCCCTCTGCTCCCCCTAGCCCCTGCCAGTTGCTAGGAGCCCTGAAGGAGTTCTCTCGGACATATAGCTGCAGTTGCTGGGCTGTATCCTACCTACTTCTTGCTGCTCCCAGGAAGGGACTCTAGGAGCTGCTTCTTAGATGTCATGACAAGAAGTGGGGCTTATTTCTGGGTTTATTTAAAGGGGGTCATAACCCCCTGTTTAAAAAAAACGAACAGCCTACATTTGGACGCTAGTAACCCTGAAGAGAGTGAGGCTCAGGATACAGCTGCTCCCAGGAAAGAACCATATGAGCTCGTTATTTTGAGCTTTGAATTATTTTTCCTTTTACAAAAGGACTGTCTGGTAGTGTTCTCTGAATCTGCTATGGGAGTTCTTGGTAACTCTTCCTATATAGCCCTTTTCTTTTAACAAAGAACTGTGTGATTTCCTTGAGACTTGGTTCTGCTGCTGAATCACCTGGAAAAGAGAACTGAGCAACATGAAGATTACCTGTCTGCCCAGTGGGGGGGCCTTGAATAAATTGCATCAACACCACTCCCTGGTCCAAGAAGACAATTGAAATAGGAACTGAACCCAGGTCTTTTTTTGTGCCAGTGCAGAATACCACCACTGACTAAACTATTGGTTATTTCATTTTCTTAGGATGAGGGTCTTCTATTCATTTCTAGTTTTATATGCAAAAATCAGAGATTAAAACTTCTCACATCTGAGTTTCAATAAACACTATAAGCAAACTCCTCTCCTCCCCCCCACCTCCCAAGTAATTCAAAGCATATTTGAGCTAAAATCTGCAGTCAGGCCTCTGGATTCCCTGACTCAATATAGTTTTATTTAACTAAATATGACAATAAATACAGAAGGTCAGATCCTTAATTATACTAACTCTAGCAGTGCAGAGTTGTCAGAAAGTGGGTTCAAATATAACTGCAAAATGTACTGGGGGGCCTTAGTGTAAATGAGACTGGTCCAGTGGATAATGTACTAAATGTATATTTAAAGTCCCATTAAACTTTATTTTATATTGACCCCTATGTCTTTAGCTTTCACTGTGTTGCAGAATTTTGTATTGGAAACACATGATTGCATTATAGAAGCTGTCTGGGGGCGAGGTGAGGAGAGCTGGAAGTTCTAGCACATGGGATAAGACAGACAGAGGGCCACGGGTGTAAGTCTGGCTTTTTGGTACCTAAGTGTGTCATTTGAAGGCCTATATCAGTGATTCTCAAACTTTTGTACTGGTGACCCCTTTCACATAGCCTCTGAGTGTAACCCCCCGCCCCTTATAAATTAAAAATATGTTTTTATATATTTAACACCATTATAAATGCTGGAGGCGAAGCGGGGTTTGGAGTGGAGGCTGACAGCTCGTGTCCCACCACATAATAACCTCCCGACCCCCTGAGGGGTCCTGACCCCCAGTTTGAGAACCCCTGGCCTATATAGTTTGCCAAATTGAAACTGCAGTCACAGAAGCCAGATTTACTCTAAAGCTCACTGAATGCCTCTGAGGGCTTGTCATTACTACTTGGACCTAAGTCATAACGTAACTGGTCAACATAGCTTAGGTCAACTTACCTGGTGTCTTCACTGCGCTGCGTTGATGGGAGACGCTCTCCGGTCAACTTCCCTTACTCTTCTCGGAGAGGTGGAGTACCAGGGTCTACCGGAGATGGCTCTGATGTCCATTTAGCGGGTCTTCACTAGACCTGCTAAATCTACCCCAACTGCATCGATTGCAGCAGCATCTATCTCCCTGTAGTGAAGACCATCCTTGCTTTTTTTTTTTTTTTTTTTTCAGGGAATAAGTGTTTCTAGGACAAGGAACACATGGTGGAACAGATTGATGAAGAATTGCTGGACTTATTTAATGCTTTATTTTTGTGTCATTGCAATTCATATGTAATGCTTTTTAGCCATGTATAAAGACTTAAATTATTTCTAAAGAAAGGTGGTTTCTCATTTTGTCTGATTGCAGGAAGCAGTTTGGTTCCTTTCCAATATCACAGCAGGAAACCAGCAACAAGTTCAAGCTGTAATAGATGCTGGACTAATCCCTATGATCATACACCAGCTGGCTAAGGTCAGTCAAGCTGTCAGTTACGCAAGTTTGTCATCATCTTTTTATAAGTCTGACACAGGGAATATTTGAGTTAATAAGCTTTACAGATGTATGCTTGCTAATTTTAATGAACTATCAATTTTACCCTTCAGGGGGACTTTGGAACACAAAAGGAAGCTGCATGGGCAATTAGCAACTTGACGATAAGTGGAAGAAAAGATCAGGTGTGTGTGGCTGACTTTCAGGTTGTTGTTAAAATGTAGTGTATTGTAAGATTAATCGTATATAATTCTGAAGGCATTTTCCCCATATTTAGGTTGAATATCTTGTACAACAGAACGTAATACCACCATTCTGTAATTTACTGTCAGTAAAAGACTCTCAGGTGGTCCAGGTGGTCCTGGATGGGCTGAAAAACATTCTGATAATGGCTGGTGATGAGGCTAGCACAATAGCTGAAATTATAGAAGAATGTGGAGGTAAGATTTTATTTGTTAGGCTTTTCTAAACTTTTATTTGCTATGGATCACTTTGTCTTCCTTCTTCAGAACCAGTGCAGTACTTAAGGCAGTGTTTCTAAAATGTGGCCACTGTGACCACATGTGGCCCCCACTGGATTTTTTTGCTGCCACGACAACCTCCTAGGCAGTGATTTTGTGGGGGGTAGGGGGGGCTGTGGCAAGAGGTGGTGGCTGAACTGAGGCCACCAAAACATATGTTGTAAGAACCCCTGACTTACGGCCATTGGCACATGCCACATAACACCAGCAATTGGTCCTTATGTGGTATTCAAATAAGTGGATGAAACTGTCAGAAAGGGAAAAAATACATTACCTTGTAGCCATTGTGGCTTTTTTCTATTTAGTGAAACTTATTTAGAGGGATTTTCACATTGGTGGACACTTGGTGGCAGGGTGGGGTGAGGACATACTTCCACAGACCAGTGTATTTCAGTAGTAGCTTTCTGTATCTTTTTCAGATTTGTTTTAAAGAGAGCGTTATTTCCACCCAACTTCTGCCTGTGCTTTTGATCCTGCAGTAAAACTCATGGTTTTGCATCACTCCATTGCAGTGGGAATGAATGTCAGTATTTTGACATCCCTGCAGAATAAAATAGGAAGAGAAGTTGGGCTTGAGGTAGCAAGTCCCTGTTAAATCACACATCAGCAATTTAGATATGATGGCAAGTTAATTTTTCAAAAGCAAGTTAGAGATAAATGAATGTCTTAAAAAAGGTTTTTCCCAAGTACATAAATTTCTTGCTCGAAACTGAAGTTATGATTTTAAACTACTGTAGCTATGTTCTTCTGTCACCTTGTTTGCATTTCACTCTTGGTATGCTACTCTAATGTGGAACCACTTTTAGCCTGCAAAGATGTACAATGTCTGTATGGGACAAAGGATACATGCTATACAGCAGAAATACACAAACTTTGCTTAACTGAGTGCTTCACCTAACTTACATAAAAGGGAATGGATTGCAGCAGCCCTGGAGGCTTTTAAGAACAGGTTTGACTCCGCATCATCATTAAGGTGGGTGGCCCATGGAAACGGGCTGTGCTGAGACCTGTAGATTCCACAAGCCACACCTCTGTCTTAAAGATGAAAATGGCAACTTTGAAAGAACATTCTGGGTCATGTTTGGAAGCTAGGCTCCATCGTGACCATCCTTGTTCTCCAGTATGTCTTGAGGTACTAATGTAACTAAAGGCAGTATTTTGTTATGTCTAAAATGCTAACCTAAAGTAGCTACTAACAAACTTCATTTTAACCTGTTGAACGCTTTTATTCCTGCTGTCATTTGGCCAGGTTTAGAGAAAATTGAAGCCTTGCAACAGCACGAGAATGAGGACATCTATAAACTAGCATTTGAAATCATAGATCAGTATTTCTCTGGTGATGATGTAAGTACATTAAAGAATGCTCTGTGTGTGGTTATGGATGTATGAAATGTTTGGTGTGAATGCTTTTGTACTCCATATTTTAATTTAGTAACTACATTGTCAGCGTTACTTCAGTCATCCCCCTTTATGGACATGGGTTGTTCAGAGGATATTTTCCTACCTTTTTTTTGTACAGCTTGTCTTAATTAAAAGATTAAGATACTTTCTCAATCTTCCATTCTCCCTCTGTGGTTTCCTTCCCTTCTGTGACTTCTTTGACCTGTTCCTGCTCCTACTCCATCTTTTTCATTCCTTTCTTGCACCAAGAAACTGCCTCAAACAGACATTGACTAAGACGGGCAATTCATTTTTTGCCTAATAAACCAGTAAAAGCTAGCCCACACTACAACACCTTCTAAAGTTGAACAGTTTATCATTAGAAGAAAATATACTTGCAAATCAAGTTTTATATACTTTATAGAAAAATAGATTTATATCAGATATTATGATTAACCCTGCACTGTCCTTAAAAATTGTTTGATGCCAGCAGTTCTCCTTCAGATTACCACTCCAGGCCTCACATGTCCTGTGTAGAAGCCATGGAACCATTCAGAACAGTAAAACTGTTAAGGGGTGCATGTATAATCCTAGAATTCAGTGCCAAGGAAAAGAGGTCCCTTCCCCATTACTCCCTCAGTTCCACTCTTCTTATTGGGTTTGGTTCTGTGACCACAAATCTGTTTTCACTGTGCAGGAATAGTTGGCACAGATTGAATCAATAGTTTTTATGGTGATTAACATTTTCTTGGACATTTTTGTCCTGAGTGGTATTTTGTTATAATTGCAGGTATAGCAACAATTGACTGCTTGGTGATCTTGTTCCTCCAAAATATTAGTTTCCAACAATCCGATCACCATGAAATGTTAGCTCAAGATATGTTTACTCAAATGACTTTGAGGCTTCTTTAGAAGGTCCACTGTGGGATGAAGTCCGTCCTGTTGGAGTGCTTGGTGGAGTGAGGAGCTTTCTCCTGGAGATTTGAGTGGATTGCGTCTACAGTCTAAAGTATCTGAGTTGGAGGCCCTAGGACCAGACAAAGGATCCAAGACTTTTGGGTTCGTCCTCTGGATGCAAACTGTTACAAGGAGGAGGGTGAACGTTTTTTCTCAATCTCTGAGGATAGAACAAGAAGCAATGGGCTTAAATTGAAGCAAGGGAGGTTTAGGCTGGACACTAGGAAGAACTTCTTATCTGTCATGGTAGTTATACACCAGAACAAATTGCCTATGGAGGTCATAGAATCTCCATCATTGGAAGTTTTTAAGAGCAGGTTAGACAAACACCTGTCAGTAATGGTCTAGTAGTTACTACTTAGTCCTGCCTTGAGTGCAGGGGACTGGACTAGATGACCTATTGAGGTCCCTTTCAGTCCTACACTTCTGATTGTGTGATTTTATGCACCTCAGATTATAGGGAATCCTGAGTCACTGTCCATAGTTTCTAAAAAGTGTGTAAAAGTTCAAGGGATTTGCATGAAAAAAGGCACCAGGATATAAGTCAGTCGTATCCAAAGGTTGGTTCAGGTCCAGCCCTGCCTAGTTGCACGCATTTCTTCAAATCCTGGGATGTCAAAAGAAGTTAGGACTTCCTCAGATGCTGGGTGTCTGGATCCTGCACTCCTTGGGCTTTGCAATGGGATTTATTAGTCAGGTTGGATCTGTCTTCTAACTTATCCTCTTTATTTTCTCATAGGAACAGTCTTTCCTATGTTGGCATCCTTTCTTACTGAGAAGTCACCTTCTCAGAGAGGTCTAATCAGTCATGGTTTCTGTGGGGAGAAGGAGCAGCCACTAAAGAACAGAGCTGAAGGCTCTGAAGATGTATTTCTGGCAGTGTTATTCCTGCATCTAGATACCTTTTTGTCACTCTGGCCATCTGCTGCTGCCCGAGGGAGTCAGTTGTTTCAGAATAAGATGTATATCCACCTTCTTGTCTTTTGTCCTCCTTGGGAGTTTTGACCCTCATGGGCTCCAGCTCTTCCTGATTCAGGCTCTTTTGGAGAGTTGGTTCCAGCAAAAAGGGTGAAGGAAAACTGATATCTAGGTTGTCTCCCCCAAAATATTCCAGACCTTTAGCAGAGTGCTGTCAGGATGAGAATTTCCATTTCTGTCCTGAAGGATTTGGTATCAGAGTAACAGGCTGGGTGTCATTCATCAGAAGTATTCCTCCCCCCAATCTTTGTCACCTGATGCTTCTGTCCTTTCCTCAGAGGGACCTGAAGGCATTTAGGATCTAGTAGAAAGGATGGCAGTGTCTGACATTCCTCTTGTTTCAGTCCATAGTAAATCATGTGATATTTGACCTTCTGGTGTTGAAGGAGACAGGTAGTTGTTCCCACAAACAAAGGGCTTCTAGAAGCTGTAGAAGGTTTGCTTTGGAATCACCTAGCTGTGGTGCAGTCTGTTTCAAGGAAACTTGACTCTTGGTGCCAGGTAATTAGGGGTTTAAACTACGGCTGTCGATTAATCGCAGTTAACTCACACGATTAACTCAAAAAATTAATCATGATTTTAAAAATTAATTGTGATTTAATCGCACTGTTAAACAATTGAATACCAATTGAATGGATGCAGGGGATAAGGCTTGGCAGGGTGGGGGTTCTGCATTGCTCGAAATGACACACCTGCACTGCTGGGGAGGGGCAAGTGACTGCTCTTGCAGCTTACCTTTGCTTCCCTGTCAGTCATTTTTCTGCAGGGAAGCAAAGAAATCTGTGGGGGACATGAATTCTGCAGAATTCCCCCAGGAGTAAATAGGACACTGAGTCAGTGGATTTGTTGTTTTGTTTTTTGGGCAGCTCTGTTATAACTTTACTGGATTTTCAGTGTCAGTATGTCTTAGGGTCCTATGTAGAGCCACAAAATAAAGCTAGACAACACTCTTCGGGTGGTTATTTATAACAAGTAACTATCAAACCCAAAACAGTATTCTGTCCCTTTTCAGGACTAAGGCAAACAAACCAAGCCCTTTAACAGGATTACACAAATGAGGGGAAAAGAAGCTATATTTACCTCACCTGCCTGACAGTACTATGGCTCCCTGCCCAGAAGCATCTTTTTTTTTTTTCTTTTTCTTTCCCCACCCCCTGTGGAATGTCTTCTCCTCCCTTTTTGGAGGAGACTGGAGGCCACTGATTCTCTCTATGCCACTAACTCTACATTATTCCCTCGTAGTTCACTGCAATAGGGCATGCAGGCGTGGTCCTTTTCTTCAGAAACCAGACTAACCCTCTCCTGACTTCCTAAGGGATGACAGTACCCTTGTACTAAAGAAGTATCAACCTTGGTGTGCTGCTTTGTAATGTCTTTGTAGAAGAAGACAGTCCTGCTAGTTGTAGTTCAATCACACTTAACAAAGCATTGTATCGACTCTAAATCCAGATTGGATCCTCAGTTTGGGAAAGTGCTCTTGTTCTTCTTAATTAGCACTCAGCTTTTCTGCTGAGGATTGTCGCTGCCTCTGCAGAGCTTCACTGGCATCCATTTAGAGTAATAAGCATTGTCATGAAGGAGAAAAGTTATTTGCCAGTAACTTGTTCTCCAGATGTATTGCTCAGCAGATCTACAGACTTTCCTCCTCCCCTCTCTTTAGGAGTTAATGAGTTTCCTGAAGTAGAGAGGGACTGAAGGATTTTAGGGGTCAGCACTCCAAAATCCTAAAGCCTTGTCTACGCTACACAGTTTTGTCAACAAAAGTCAGCTTTTGTCAATAAAAGAGTGGAGGTATACATGCTGAAATGCTCCTCCCGCCAATGTAACTCCCCTGCTATGTCGACATAATAAAACCAGAGGTGTTGGGCTTATGTTGGTGGTGTTAGGGTGGCACAGTGTCTTTGTCGATGCTGTGAGCTGGGGCAAGAATGGACGCCGTTCCCGGCTGGGAGCCCCGGGTGGCTTCCCCTCCTCTCCCAACAGGGCAGATGGGCTCCTGGCAGGGAGCTGCCAACAGAGCTGAGAGACCAGGCTCTCAGCTCCCCACACTCCCCCTCTTAGGTCGGTGGAAGCGCTTATGGTGAGGACGCACACCATTGGCCCAAGGAAGGTAGTGCGGACATCAGTCACCACAGTAATTAATCCAGTGGCTTTAAGTCGACCTAATATAGGTCGACTTATCTTTGTAGTGTTTCAGAATACTGGATCTCAGTGTGTAAACAGTATATGCACCCTCAGATGGCCTTACTGCTTTGAATGGTTCAGTAACTCATGCGACATGGCATGTGGCTCCTGAAGTCTGATTTTCAGAGCCAATACATTCAGAACAAATATCAGCAAGTAATCTTTTCCTAGCATGCTCAATGCTGCTGCCAGTGAACTGTATGCTGGAAATCAGGTGTACATATTGTAATGCTATTGATAATTTTAGCCTTCACTAGAAACAAAATGTTACCTGTGTGCCTAACTTCTAAAACTCTGAGAGGGGAAATTGAATCATGGTTCTTCTATATTAATGGCTTGCATGCTACACCAATAAGACAGTTTAATTTGTTTCTTTTGTAAAATAATATAGTATATTCAACTGGGAATTTGAGAAGTTTAAAAAATAAATCACTCTGAAATAACTTAAGTTAGAATCTTCAGAATCAAAGAAGAAATACTGATTACCAAAAAAAAAAGACAAGAATTCCTATCAGCTATAGATAAAAATCAATTCAATACAATAGGTAACCCTGAGAAAAGCACAAAACTAGTTTTTAGATTTCACTAGTATTGATTAGATGATATAGTAGAAAGCTAAAATTTCAATCTTAATTTTGTAGTTAAGAGTCTTTGCTGTAATTAAGTGGTAACACAATCAATAAGGATTTGATGCATCTATTTCCTTTAATGGCATTAGAACAAAGCATGATTTTTCTTTTTAAAAAAAAAAAGTTATATTGAATTGGCTAAAATTATTAACATTTCACTTTTTAGTAACAAAATATTTCAGTTGGCCAATATTTATGAAATATTTATGCATCCCTGTATGTTAAATGACTTGTACAAGGTGTTGGGTTTGTATGGATTACTTTTTATTATATCTTTATAGATTGATGAAGATCCCAGCCTCATTCCTGAAGCCACTCAAGGAGGTACTTACAACTTTGACCCAACAGCCAATCTTCAAACAAAAGAATTTAATTTTTAAGTTCAATACAGTGCAGCTTCTCTGTCCCACACCAATACGAAGCACCACCAAATGGCTACCAAGTGAAAAAAAAAGGCTCCAAGACACACATGCCTCCTCGTTTTGATGCTTCTAAAGCAAGCCATGTATCGGTCACTTTGCAGTTGCCAAAAGTCACTATCACGTGGACTGTAAATGCATATGCATGATCTCTTAAACTGTTTTACAATTCTTTTTAACAGTCCCAATTACCTTCTTTTTTTGCCTTTTTCCCTGGTGCCACATGCTGACAACCGCAATCTGCAGTTTTGTTAAGAAAATTTCATAGTGGTGGCACATCTGCTTTCCACGGAAAAGTAACTTCTTTGGAAAATGGTGCGCTGTGGATCAAGACACTTTGGTATGATGCATACATTTTGGAAGACTTTACAGGGGCACAGTTTGGTCTGAGCCTCCATCGTCCTCCACAAACATATTTTCATATACTTTATGTGGAAGAATAGATTCAAAAATGCAAGCCAAATGAATTTCATTGGTGAAACTGAAATAAAAGTAACTTACACTTGGCAATTGATTAAACAGTTAAGTTTAAAAAACAAACTACTTCATCTATCAGTAATTGATGTGTGTTCATTAACTGCCTCAGAAACCAGGGTTGGAGAATGAACTGTAGATTTGGACTGGTAAAGCTTTTGCCGTTATACCTAATTTTTGAGAACAGCGAGCCCTATTTGACCACTCACTTCAGCCTGTGTGTTCCTGCTGTTTTGAAGTAATCAGATGCTGTGCATGGTATTTTACCTGAGCTACAACCTGTTATGGACTTGAACTTCTGTTTAAGCTGAAAGCAAGAGTCCTTGACTAGAAAAAAAATCTGTCCAAAACCACGCATTGGTTAAAAAGAATCTTGCTTTCAACTTCCAGTAGTCAGTATATTTCATTTTAAATTGATAATTTGGATAAGGTTGATTTATATTGGGTTTAAACTGTGGAGCTTTCATGTTTACTGTAATTTAGTCTTAAACTATTTTTTACTTAGTAACCAGTGCTTATGATGATGTGGTTGGCAACAAACCAGCAGCTATTTAGAAGCATCATAAAAGCTTCATTCTTGGAGTATTGGAAGAGTAATTCAGAAATGAGTCTAAAACCGTATTCACGTGATTTAAAAAAATTACAAGCCAGTTGATGTGTGAGGCTGTTTAGAAGCTGCAGTGTTTCAGCATAAGCCTGATATGCAGCACACATTAAATAACTTTATATAAGCTGGTAATATGAGAGGTCATTGCTTTCGGAAAGTCGTCTGGCCCAGTTATTTTCAAAGGGATTTGCTTTTGGTGGGGTGAAGATGAATAATTTGAAACTCTGTAAGCTATCACACAAGCTGGTTTTGTTGCCGTTGTTTACTGGGTGTAATTTCCCAATGCATTGATGTGAAGGGATAGAAAAATCTAAACTAATTTAGTTATTGGATGTGGGTTGTATTTACTGTGATGAAGATAAGGACAGATGCCATCAGAGCTTTGTGGATCAGCTGTTTTTTTTCCACGGATGAACAACACATAGCAGGTGTGCATTCATTAAATATATATCTGCCAAGGTGGAGCCACTTTAAAGAGCGAGTTGTCTTGTATCTTAAATAGATACAAGCGTATGTTTAAAATGCAAGATTTTTACTTGCTAGATAATCTGTTTTAATATAGTGGTTTGGCCTCTGATTATTTATAGGTTTTATAAATTTTAGAATCAATTTCTCTTTAAGGTGGCTCAGATTTTTCAACTCTTGTGCACATAAAATTGAGTTGAAGTTCATTGTGCCTTTTTTTCTTTTCCCAAAAGTTGAGTTGAAGCTTCATATGGTAACTGCATCCTAGTCACATACTATAGTCTAAAATCTTTAAACTGTGTGGTGTTTGCTAAAACTAAACAATATAAAGTCAAAGTTAGTAAGGTCACAAAGTTTTGTGAAATTAGAGTTCCAGCTGATGATGATGTGAACAAATCTTCCCCCTCTTTATTCTCAATTTAGTTCTCTATATGCCATATAGATTGACAGTTACCCTTTTCAGCCTGCACTCGCGATTTTCCTAGAGATTACATACAAATTGAGATTACATTCATGATTTTCCACAACTGTGAAGATCTAATTTTTTTTCTTGCACTCAGTGCATCACATTAAAAGTGAACATCGGAGAACTGAGTAAAGCACTACAAAGCATTTGCTCATTTCTTTCTGTTGTGACCTTATCAGCTTTTGATTGGGATTGCACCATTTCATAGTTAATAAAGGAAACCAAGTATATTGCTGCACTTTTAAGTTTTCAGAAGTGTTTAAAAATTGCATTGTTTTTATTATTTTTTTTAAACTATCAGTTAAAATAGACTAAAACGTTCTTTCAAAAGAGGCATCTAAATGTGTTCCTAATTTTGTATATGGGCTTAGGTTTTGTAACCAATAAAAAGCTGCTATCAAATACTATAAAACATGCAAAAACTTATTTTGAAAACTATCAAACTGTCTTTTCAAATTGATTTAAGGTTTTTTCTGTCTTTGACCAAATTTTAGCTAGTAGAACTCCACATCAAAGTTTGAAGTATGTTACTTAAACAAAATAAGCGAATGCAGTGATCTTTGAAACTTTGAATACTGTTCTAATGTGGAGTTTTATATTTGCTATAGAGTTGACCATCCAGTGGAGGAAGGTTGGGTTACACTCATAGTAAGTGGTGTGAAGGCAAAAGTGGTGCTTTTCAGACTGCCAATTTCTAGCAGTTTTGTAGTTACAAAGGAAAAAAATTGCAGTAAAGCTAAAGGCCAATTTATTCTGTCAGTTGTCTGAGTCAATGGCATGTGTACATGATATACATATGTGCTAAATTAGGGAATAAATTACAAGTAATTCAAATTGGGAAGCAAGCAGACTTTTTCATAACACTTTTTTTTTTAACACTGTAGCCTGCTAGAACTTCCAGAAGACTTCCTTTCCAGGTTGCAGGTATTTATGTTCTACCTGCTTATTCACCATTGTCTTTTAAAGATTTACTAGCACAAAATGTATAGGCACTATCTTATCTTATTCTTTGCATGTTAGGCTCTTCTGTAAATTTCTCCCTTTGGCTTACTTGCTTAGTTCAGACAAAAGCTAAGTCCCATTTTCAAAAGTGATTTAGGTACTGGGGACCCTCCTATTCACTTTGATTTTTGACAATGTGACCTAGGCTATTAAGTCATTTAGGTGCTTTTGAAAATTTTACCCTATAAACTGTTAACCATACAGCTGGTCCTACTTACGAACATTTTGAGAGCTACTAGGTTAGAATTTGTTGTGCAATGTTTTTTTAAAGAAAATGTCTTGTATCTTTTACAAAGCATCTTACAAGAATGTCTTCCTTATCTTTTTCAAGGTGACATAGCTCTTCAGTTTTGCTTTATGGATCTGTTAAGCAATGGATGTGTGAGGAGATGCATTGACCGACATGTTTTTTTTTCTAAATCTCAAAGGAGTTTGTCAAGTGTTCAGGTCCCAGATTTGACCTACTTATTCTAATCTGATGCAGAATATTTAAAATAGATATTAATTCCATTAAAAAGCTTTCTACCTAAATAGCCTAGTTCAGTTGGGTTCCTCTGTTAGTTTTGCAGTAGAAGTGAACCTTTTTCTGAGATACTGATTGTACTTATGCTCACAAACATAAATAGGAAAAAAATGATGTATTCAACTGGAAATGGAAATATTTGCAAGATGAAAGTGTAAAATTATTAGGATGGGAGTATATTATCCAAGTTTCTAAAACAGTATGAAATCACTAGAGGTTGTATTTTAACATTCTTTGCTTTTGAGAGGCAGTTGGCAAATAGAGATCATCAGATATACAAAATATTTTGGATTGTCTTGTCTTTGTAAAACTAGAACATTTATAGTTACTTTGGTTTTGCTTTTTGATGAAGCTTTACCATAAACTGTTTGGTGATATACTTAAGTGCAGTAGTTGAAGTAAATATATGCTACACTCCAGAAACTTTATTAGAAGAATTTTAAGGTTTCAATGTCAAATAATGAAAATTTAGGTTGGGTGTGCAAACTTTAATTCTTCTCCCTTGTCCATATGCATTAGGATACAGTCTTTAACTACATGGTTACATACTGTATTTTTCCACAATGCCTCATTTAGTGAATTGCTAAACGATTCCGTGTTTCTCTTTATCCTCCACGTTCAATGTGTGGCCCCATGCTTTATTTATTGCATGCCATACAAACCCTGCACTGATTACATTAATTTCTTTATGGATGTTTCCGTGGTACTCTCAGCCATAGTATCTGCATGCTTCACAAACATTAACTTAATCTTCACAACACCCCAGTGAGATTAGGTGGTGGTGGTGGAATCTCCATTTTACAGCTGGGGAACTAAGGCACAGAAAAAGGCTAAACTTCTTTAGCCTTTAGACTTCTTTCTAAATCACTAATTTTGGATGCCCAGCTTGAAACACCTAGGGCCTGATTTTTCAGAGTGCTTAGCATTTATATAGCACTTTATATATTCAAAGCACTGCTCCAGTCAACTTCAGTTGCAGCTGTGAGCACTCAATACTTTAACAAATCTGGCCCCGGGTGTGTCATGTTGGGCACCCAGAAAAAGGGGAATACACAATGACCACCTGTGAAAAGTTTGGTTTAAGTGACTTGACCAGCATCACAGAGAAACTCTCTGGCAAAGGCAGGGATAGAATGCAGTATCCAGGGCAACATTCAGTTGCCTTAACCATGAGACTATCCTTTCTCTTCCAGCAATCCCTTGCCTCATTAACTACACATCTTCTGACTTCTGCACCAAATGAAACAGGAGTCCTACTGACAACCGCTTCTTACACCACCCTGATTTATTCCCAGAGCACCTCTGTGCCTACCCATCCCTGACTTCTGCAACTGTCTATTCTCAGTCTTCCCCTAATATATGTCATCCCTCTACATTCCAGTATAGCAGCCTTCTCGCTGCCTTGATGTCAGCAAAAACAAAGCAAAGCAAAAAGTGTCTCTGCTATTGGTTCCAGTGCCTCCGTGGCTGCCGGGCCACTGTGAGAAGTAATTGCAGGGGAAAAAGTCCTGTTCAGTCTCTGCAGTCTTGGGATAGAGCATGCTCAATTGCTCTGTGGGAATGGCAGGTGTAAGTCTGGCCTGGAGGAACTTTGGGGATGGAGCATGCTCAGTGTATCTGGAATCTTGGAGAATTTATCTACCAATCTTTCACAAGACTCATCTCTACTGAACATAGGCAAACAGATTTTTCAGAGGCTTATAGCTTGATCAAATGTTGGCAGTTTTTTATGGGCACCGAAAAAGGCACATCCCTGTCACCAGAGTCACCTCCTGCCAAACTTTGTGCTTTGGAACAGGGACTTAGAGCCCCGCTAGAGCTGCTGAATTTAATGGCTGTAAGAATTTGTTTTTACGTGGGCAAAACAATGTTTTCCCCATAACCATTTTTAGTCAAAACATTTTAATTTTTCCTACAGTTATATGAGAATCTCAGTTTTCATATTTTTAAAGTTTTTTGGTCCTTATGATTGCAGAGAGAAACTTGAAAACAGTAACCATAAAAGCTCAAACTGCAAGACAGACAAATCCCCCAAATGTATTATTTTTAAAATCTCATTACTTTTCATAAATCTCAGGGGGAGTGGGGGAGGGTTGGAACCTGCTTCATGATTTTTTGTAGATTTGGGGTTGATGATATTGTTTAATCCTATCCAAGCCAAAAAAGTGATCTCTCCATTTCTGCAGTCTGATACACTTTACCTGGAATTCTGGATCACTTGCTCATAGGTGAGTGGGAGGCAGTAGACACTGAAGATTTTGGCACTAAGGATTCCTGGTATCTCCTGCTTTTCCTTGTTCTCATTCAGAGCTGGTCAAAAGAACAAGCTGCTGGAATGTGACTAAACAGTTTC